ACTGACTTATTGAGGAATACTTTAGTGATCTTGCCCACAAAGAAAACCTTTTAATTCAGTCTTAAGCATATCTGTATGAGGTATGATTGGCTAATTTAAAGGGACAATTTTATCACAATTTCTTTGGGATAAAATAAGAATTCAATTAGAATTACCGCATTTAAATCAAAACCAATAAAAGCAGTGTTATTGTCTTGTTCCACAATACATGTTTGATGATCTGGAAATTTTTTTGGGGTAAGCATATTTTATATCAGCATTGTTTAACTTTTGTTGAATATGAGAAATTGTTCGAATTCCTTAAAGGGATAGTTCACTGAAAAATGAAAATACACTCATTATGTACTCTCTACTATGCCAAAGAAACAACAGAAAAAACAAAACATGCCTCCATACTGCTCCTGTTGTGTCATCCAATCATCCACAAGCCCTGACATTCAAATTTGACTTCAAACAAGGTCATTTACACTCTGTTTTAAGCCTAAAAGTCCACCAGAAGTGGCTAAGCTAGCGGACGTAGCTACAAGATGGTGTGTCCGTGGGTCAGTGAATGCACCTCCTGCCTTGTTTGAGGCATGCTTTGTGTCTTCTGTTGTTTTATTACATCTGAAGTCTAGGTCACCATTGACTTCAATTGTATTGGATTCTGTTGCAACGCTGTTTATCCTTGAAACTCCAAAAATGTTTTGTGGACTCAATCACTTCACTCACCCCTCCATTGGCATAGTGGTGAGTAGATAATGGGTGCATTTTATTTTTTTTGGTGAATATATTCCTTTAAGAACAAATTGTACTGTGGTTAAACAAATTTGTAGTTACATTCATTTGAGCAACTTCTGAAACTCGAACAAAATTTGAAATCAATTTCTTGGATGTAATAAAAACTGACGTTTGGAAACTGCTTTGGTTTCTGACTCTGTTCATTCCAAATTCATTTTATTATCTACTGAAACACCCATTGTTTTTTTTTCCACTTGTTCAATGTTTCATTGTATAAATCTGCGGGTAAAACAGAAAGTAACTAAAAAAAAAGAAGTGGCTTCTGCTGTTTAAATGTACATTTAGTGGAAGAAAACAAGCATATATGAAACAAGATTGTAACAATTGGGAAGTTGTAGAAATAAACTGTCTTAAATATTTTATCAAGCCAAATCTTCCTCCCTCAGTTACCTACCTTAAAATAAGGACATTTTTCTCCCCTTTTCACTCTTTAATAACTGAACGAAACATTTTTTTCTCATGATATCACGACTGTACCAGAAGGTAACTACTATTTTCTACAGATAATATTCATCTAAGCATATATTTCTCCTTCCCTTTCGTTTAAGAACCATGAGGAAACCAGCAGGATTTATTTATCAGCATCTGATTCATAAAACCAAATGGCACTGTAAAACATGGTCTGTATTTCAGAGAGTTACTCCAGCAGCTGTCTGAAACCACATACACAGAAAAAATTATAAGAAAACGGAGGCTGGATGAACACAGCACTCTCTCTTGAAAACGCTTTGCAGTACTTATAAAACCATATTCCAAAATTCCATGTTCAAGAGAACAGATGGATTTTAGAACAATGGCTCTTACCTCAGTGATTTAGAAATCTAGAAAAAATATTGTTCCGATATCTTGTGAGCATATAACATAAGATACATTTGGTACATAGCCTAGCAATTTTCTTAAAACAGGGTTGTGGCACAGAGGACGCTGTTGCCATATTATATGTAAACATTTAGATAAACCTAAAACCTATGGAATAGCTCTTTTTCTAGACTTTCATCTAGCTTTCATCTCTGTCAAGTAACTTAGGCGAGCCAACAGTGCATTAACAAGGTGGTGGAGTGATTAATTTGCCCTTGAAATTAATACAAACAGAAGAGGTTTTTGGTTAAACCACTGACAGAATCTGACTCATAAGGTTCCTGTTTATATAGAAACTGAAAAAAAAATTTTTTCATACAAATATTTGTCTGTAATACCAGATTGTGTGCTGGCCTGGAAATTGCACTAAATTAAGTCAAAGCTTTTCCAGCAAAAAAAGAATCTGTTCTATGATTGTAGGACGGTCTATGTATTAGATTTCATTATTTCAACATGCTGAGTTCAGTTTGTTCAGTTTAATTCAATTCAAATTTATTTGCATAGTGCCAAATCATAATATACATTATCTCCTTAAAAGACCTTAAAAAACCTTTCAACAGCTTTTCTGGCTCAGGGGGTAGAGCGGTTGACCATTAACAAGGAGGTTGGCAGTTTGATCCCAGTCTTCCCCGAAGAAGACAAGGGCAAGTAACTGAACCCCAAATGGCTTCTCATAGAAAAAGTCCTCCCAAAAGATGACCTGTATGATTGTGTGTGTGAATGGGTGAATGGCAACAACCTGTACTCTAAGGGGCCTTGAGTGGTCATCAAGACTAGAAAAGTCCCAGCAAAAGTACGCAGCAGAGTAAGCATATGATCAGAATTCATAAAGGTCTAATTAGAGAGGTTTAAAAAAGGCCAAGTGTTTGGTATAATGAGGATCATTGTCATCTTACTTTTGATGATGTTCTGATTTCAACCTGGATGTTTGTTGCTTGCATTTTCCTAACAATATCAAGAAAAAATCTCAAAAGAAATAGAGCACTAGAATACAGGGTGTAGAATAAAAACCTGTATTTGGTTTTGTATTGGTCAGGGTAATTATTCATGTATGTATATATTGTTACCTTTAGAGTTTCTAGATGTTAGTGCCAGGTATAATGCCAGATAGATATGGAAAAATAAAAAGGCAAATGTTTGTGTACAACATGTATGAGGAATCAAACGGATTCTACTCTGTTCTTTAAAAAGGTTAAAAGGTAAAATGTATACCACATTCAAATTCTCAAAACAAATTAACAGGTTAGATTTCTTCTATCAGCATATTTAAGATTTAAAAACTGTGTTCACAAACCTGTAAAACCTGCATTTTATAATGGAACTTTGATTTATAGGGTTAGGATTAGGGATTCTAAATACCTAACACAAATGCTGCACACAAGTGTTCTGCCACTGCAAAATTACACACATCAACTTGTACAGTTTTCATGGCAAATATGGATTAATGTGCCCTGTCTTGTTTCACCTCCCACAGACACAGGCTCTTATAGACAAAGGTAAGAGGAATTATCAGGATTTAAAGAGCCTTTGTTTGCAATGTTGCAAAATTCCAGGATAAGGATACAGTTTCTATGCACTTTACATGAGTGTATGAGGCAATTTGCTATGTGAATGTTATTGTTCAAGGCTAACTAGCTGGTAAAACAATAGGCGTGATGTGTCATAGCAGTAAGTGCTGCTCCAAGAGCTAAATTCCCCACCACTAATGAATTCATTAATCTCTCTATTTATTCCTGACATGCAATTATCTTCTCTCACAGAGTGAGGGTCAGGCGTCAAGGTTGAGAGCTCGCGCATATTTGCAGAAGACAAGACATAAAACAGGATCCAATCACTGCTGTCCTCATAGACCTGGTACTACTCACGCTATTTTTTGTTTTCTATCAACACACATCTTGGATGATCTTGGGCTGAACAAAGCATCGGCAAAGCACCAACAATGAATCTTATAATGTAACGTGCCTTCAGATAATTAATGCTGTGATTTGGTGCAACACAAATAACATTTATTGTAATTTAATTCATAGAACTAACTTATTCTTTGTTAGATTCTTAATTACTGCACAACACATAAACATACTTGGTAACAAAAATGTTTATGGCCTCCACTTCCTAGAGCGCTGTGGTTAACCTACTGAATGAAACATATTTCTTAGTGCTGCTGTGCTGCTATAACTCACAGTAACATTATAAACAAAAATATGGTACTCTAAAACTGGATCTCGCTCAACAATTGGAACACTGGGACACTTGTGCAGAAGTTTGTACACCCAACTGCATGTTTAGAGATGGAAATTCAATCAATAAATCAAATGTATTTATATAGCACGGTATTACAACAAACTGTTTTCTCAGGGTGCTGCACAAAAGTCCAAATTGTCACATCTCTTTATGTGTCGTTGTGGGTGAGGTCAGTCCCTACAAGATGAAAATCCTGATGGTTCTAATCATTAAATTTTCAATGCTGCAGAACTAATTTTAATCAAGCACAAAACACAATTTAATTGTGTTAAGGTGAAAAATACAGCCAACTGCTCCTCAACACTCTTAGTTTACAATTCTCATCAATTATGTACCTCCCAAAAACCTTTTCCTACAAATGTGTTTCAGGTGCTAAATTTCTATACCTGCATGAAGCTTCATGTAAAAAAATAATCAAACCAGATTTATCATGTCACATAGATTTATATTTGAACCAGGTAATATTTAGCGGGTCAAGAACAGTAGGTCCAGTCCTATCAATTCACATGTCTGTTACTGACTGACAGAGTGATGAAGTTATACGATTGGTTAGCTGTGTGAATGCTGGACTTTCCCATTTGGCTGTTGCTCTTTCAAAATTGATTGGCACAAGTTTCTATTATACAATTAGGCGTATTTCCAGACAGTGCTGCCACCTTGGCACCTTTGTTGTTAGATAGATGAAATTAGACTCCTTTCTTTTATATCACCAGTACTGCAGTACTTTTTACTCTGTGTCTCATTCAGTGGACCGCACACGGCAGCTGACAATGAATGTTAGAGGAATCATTTTCAAATAAATCCAATTGAAATCACACCATCAGATGTCATCTTTAACTTGTGGCAATTCTGTCAGATAACAACATTCTGACAAGGTTCCACTATAACGATATAAGACCGAAGCACTTTAAGTCCTGGCGAATATTGAATATATCTTTTTAAGCAGTTATTTGACCTTGTACCTGTTTGT